GCCTTGCTCACCCTCTTGAAATAGAACAGTTTTTTCAAATTGCTCCTTCTACAATCATGAAAGAAAGGGCCTGTTTGAAAAGGCCAACAAATTCCATCCTAGGTTCTCCAAGTTTACAGACAAAAAGAAAACTACTCTCCTCTTACAATGCTGCAATTTCAATAAATCACAACATCACAAAACCCACACATTATAGGAAAAGTGGGACCATTCATCTTCCACTGTCTCGGAAAAAGGAGTACCGGCAAAGGGCCAAACATGCTATATAAGGTATCTTAGGAGGTTAGAGGGAGAGTTTGTTCTGTTCTAAAAAAAATTTGAACTGAAACCTAACACTAACAGTGTGGGTGTTTCAGTTTCAGTGTGATCAAAGGTTACACCAAGTGGCAGGGTTCCCATACCAGGGGCTATGTTCCGCATTAGTACAAGTCCTCAAGGGACGTCCCAAGAGACGCCGGCAGGATAAGGCCAGTCTAGGGTGACCTACATACAACATGTACATGTGCACCTAACCCTACCCATCTATCCTGAATAGAACTGAAATGAAATGTAGCTTATACATGTGTAGTTACAAGGCAACATTCTCCAAATACAATATATATGAACTCAATTTTAGGAGAATGTTTCATTGTTGAGTTGTTGGTTATACTTCAGGTTGGCGGCTCTTTGCCTTTGTTTGATTTCTTGGGAGAGCCCATCAGACCATCTGGTCGTGCACATGCATCTACCCTTTCAATGACCGCTTCTGTAAGTTTTCCTCTTCACACTACCCAAAGAAGGCTTCAAGCTGCATTAGCAGAATCATCCTTAAGGATCAGATAGTGTTGAATTCTCATGATGAGTTCAGACCACTTTTCTAGTGACCTAACCTTTCACCCAGCCCCCAACTGCACACATGTATTACTTTGGGCCCAGTGTGCCATGGGTCTGACATCCATGTATACCCGTGTATACCTCGTGTACCTCCATGGTCAGTCACAGCTTTGTTTTCTAGATCGTACAGTATACAGTACCAGATTGTAATGAATAAAATGTTATGATCTTCTATCACGGTTTAAATACTGCTGCACCACGATATGCACAAATTACTACACAAAACTACAGTGTGGCAACCTTATATACATGTATGCAGATACGACCTTGTATGAGAAGTTCTGTCGAAGTGCTTTTGTGTCTACGTGGTCTTAAGGTAGAGAAGGAATATTATTTTTGAGCCTTCAGTCATCTGAATGAGGGCCTGCAAGCCCTTTTTCGTAAGGCGTAATCAGGCCGTTTTAGACTTCGTAATTCGTAGGCAGCCTCAGCAAAAATCAACGTAATTCGTAATTGGACATTAGCCGCAAATCATAAAGTCGTAATCAGTTCTGAGACTTTAACGTAATTCGTAATAGGCGGCGAAAATTTTGCGTAATTCGTAATCACTACCCCCCCTTGCAGGCCCTCCTGAATGGGAAAACACTTCTCAATATACATGACATGTAAGTAGAGATGACCATGTGTTCTCAGCACAAAATGTTTAATGTGATGGCAAAGTTTGCATTAGTATTATTATTAGCAAAATGTGATGACTTGAGTGTATTAGAACCCCCAGGCTGTTCATTGGGGTTTTCTGCCAGCCAGGGGCTAACTTAGGGCACTTGGGAGCACTCTGATACAAATTAATCTGTCACAGCTTGTTACAAGCTAATCCTTAACCCTTGTCCTGCTGGCAATTTTTACACAATATTTTCAAATAATTTCATGTCTTAATCAGGTCACAGACCCTTGACTTTTTTTGGCCCGCGGTGGCGTAGTTACTTCCGCATTCGTTGCGTTTCGCTGCGGTGTGATGCGTTGCACGAGAAACACCCCCAAATTGTACATATACAGGGCACTATATAGATGGTACTGTATGTGCAACCCATATATATATATGGGCTCCGCAGGACAAGGGTTTTAAGTAAATACAGGCAGCAGCTAACCCAGCATGAAACAGCTTCTGGTGTTAGCAATAGCAAGCTCGCAGCCAGACTAGTACAGAGGAGATAAGAGAAAGAGCAACTTTTATGAATTATAAAGATGATGCAAAATCTTGAAGTGAAGAGTCACAAGGTGATAGGGGCATGAAAGGGCAAAAGTTTGTATTATGATTATGAAGTAATTTGTCATCATAACAATATTATCATAGATGACTTATTCCTATTGGATTTCTAACTGCATGGAATGAAATTGACAAAACATGGTGCTTTTTAGGTACAAGACTGCCATACAACACTTTTTAGCCTTGTTCATCACGGTGAAGTCACCCAAACTGACGATTCGGGTAACTCGCATTCCTCACATCTGGTCCATGTGCCATACATTCCTATCAAACCGTGCCCGATCACGATTCTCTGAAACTGCATTCATTGTTGTTTGATTAAAACAATGCAACGCAAGGTGGCGTGTTATTAATGTCAGAGGTCAATGACCTGCTTGCTGGTGCCCCCCTCCCAGCGTATCTCGGCCAAATGCCGAGGCGGTGAAGCTCGTCCTAGAACAGACACATTATTTGACCATTACTGCTCTTTAAGTTGCTGCCACGTAAAATTTGGTATAGCATATAAATAACGAAATATCACCCTGTAATCCATGACCAGGTGGAGTCACATTGAAATCACATTGCGTTCAGATGCAAATCGCGATGCGGAAAAACTGATTCGAAACCACCTCTAGAAGTGGTTTGGGATCAAGGCGCTTTCCATAATGATTTGGAGCGTTCAGATGGAGCCACTTGAAACCGGCTTCGGGGGAAACCACATGTAAAGCACCTTCACTGACTTCACATAAACACGACCTTTGATAATTTGGAACTTTGGCTTTGACCTATATTAGGTAGACATGAGAATATGACTAATAACAGCTTTACAAAATGAACTGTCATTGTATATCAGAGAGAGCTGTGAGAGTCACCTGTTCGTAAGACAACTTACAAATCAATGTAGACCCAGTTTACACACACACGCAAAAGTCTTAAGTACAAAAATGCATATTAGTAGCCTCCTTCACAGACTTGTACAGCGGCATTGATGTTTTTGGGAAGCAACGCAAGTTTTGCCCTTGCCCCCAAAAAATTAATGGCGCCTCTACACATCTTGTACATCACATGGTACTCGAGGTAACGTACTTGATGTATGTCAAAGCAGGCAGATTTACATACAGGGAAAATTTTATGTCTGATCCGGATCCGCCACAAATGTCTTGAACTACATTGTACCTCCTCTAGATGGATTACTTTTGATTCGGATCAGAGAAAATCAGTTTTGAAGCAATGCATTCTAGCGGAAAACAGTGTCCATAGCCACCACAGAGTACAATGTCCCTCCCATCGCCTCTTCTCTTGCATCCCTACATTTGGTGGGGAGCAGCCGGACCTCTCGCAACCCACATTGTTTTATCATGCCTCGCCCGGCGATGAATCCACCTGCCTGATCGCTGCTCAAGCTGCGCTACCACGCCTACAACCGCCTGCCTCGCCCACCTGCTGCAAACCGACCCCGATCGTCAACATGCTGCAACAACAAAGCCAGCTTGCCGGCCAACTACTTCTGCCATGTACCCAGTCATCTCTGGCCGCCATCACTGAGCACCGAGCACAACATCACGCCACGTGTACAAGAACTCAAGCTTCAGTCTGACAATGACCATCAGCATGAAATATTGTGTCCTGAATAACCTGAAAGTACTTGTGCCTGAATTGTGTGTGCCATCTGTAAACTCTTTTGTGCTTTTGGAAGGTACTTGGCAGAATGTCCCGTCTTGTATGCTTTTGCAGCACAGGGATAGCAAACACATACAATGTAGGATGTAGGACGAGTGTGAGTCCACTCTCTAACATCATAAAATAAATAAGGCATCGCAAATTCCTTCATATTTTGCATTTGGATGGAGAATTCTGCATTTGTGTTGCAGAATTCTGCACCTGAATGCAGAATTCTGCGCAGAATTCTGAATCCGAATGCTGACCTAGTCCCAGGGGACCTACAGTGTATCAATGATACCTACGCAACTTTCATCGAGTAATATAATAATGTCTTAATGGTGAAAGGTCGTCCGGAATTAGAGTCAGTCCGGAATTGAAGTGATGTCTGTTTGTAGTATATGTAGTTTGCACATAGTATATGCACCTATGTACACTTTGCACATAGCTGTGTGCACTTTGCACATAGTGTGTGCACTTTGCACATAGGTGTGTGCACTTTGCACATAGTGTGTGCACTTTGCACATACCTGTGTGCACTTTGCACATACCTGTGTGCACTTTGCACATAGGTATGTGCATTTTGCACATAGGTATGTGCACTTTGCACATAGGTGTGTGCATTTTGCACATAGTGTATGGAGAATTTCTCCTTTTAGTTGGGAATGTGTTATTAACAATCAAAATTATACAAATCAATTATACAACAAGTTATACAACCAAATATCTACACATGTACATGTATTTGATTGTGTGATAATGAGAAAGAAAAATTTTACTTCTAATGTAACATGATTATATAATTAGCATGTTTGTACTAGCAAGTTTAACAATAATTCATGATTCATCACTGTAATATACAGGCTTTTTTTTAATACAGATATACAGATACACTGGACTTGGATCCGGACTTGTAAAAATGTTTAGGTTCAAGTCCAAAAAAAACTAAAAGTCAAGAACCGAGTCCGGACTTATTACCATAAAAGACCATTTCACATACCCCTTTTCTTTCCAAACCACCTAAAACCTTCCGTAGATTGCAAAAACTTTGCTGCAAAATGAAGAAAACATTGCCATTGGGCATAGTCAAGTGTCAGCCTCCATGTTATGTGGCCAAAATTTCACCCAGACAACATTGCAAGGTTGCCAACATGCAATTTTGTATATGCCATAGGTTTAGGTCCGGACTTACAAGTCCGGAACTGAACCCAAAACCTCTGGACTTGAATCCGGACCTGAACCTAAATGTGGGTTTAGGTATGCAGCACTATGCATGAATCACCTTGGTTGCCTTCTGTACCATGTCACAGATGAAGGTAAGGAAACCCAGGTCAGCAGCACAATGGTTGATAACTGTAGATCGTGCCAGAGGGGTCCCAGGTTTCTGTGGATACAAGATGTTAAAACTATCATTTATTTATTTATGAAGATGAAGATTTACCACATTTGTGGAAGGATTGACATAACAGGTGACTATCACCTCTTCAAAGATGTCAACCCCGAGACCAGACTGTAAGGTTTGAACCACTCACACCGGGAAGGTCCCCTACTCTTTTCGATAAGTGGGGTGGGTTCTTTAACGTGCATGGGGTGTGGCTCTCCCCAAACACGGGACCTCCATTTAACGTCCTATCCGAGGGACGTCCCTAGCCAAAGCTAGGTACTCATTTTCACCTGAGTGAAGTGAGGAAAGTCGTGTAAAGTACCTTTCCCAAGGGTACAACGTCGGGTCGCATGTTTGGACTTGTTCGGGTACGACCCGGAATCGAACCCGGGTCTCCCCGTTTCATAGTCCAGTGATGTATCACTACACCACACGATGCCACACTGAAATTTTGAAACAGATTACAACTGAAATGAAAATATAAAGAAGACAGTCCACAGACCTGAATGGCTGCCATCCAGTTCCAGCGGTTGGTGGGCTGTTCGATCTTTAAGAGCTGCACGACACGTACAAACATCTTAGTCTGGTGATAGGGCAACACACAGGCCACCAGGTCATCTGTGTTGAATCTGTGGATGTGGAACCTGGGTGGGGGAGGGGGGCATAAACATCAGAACTACAGGCCTAGGAAAAAAAATGTTGTGTTTCCTGTTTCAACATTTTTTTTTGTCCTAGGCCTTAGCATGAAGACAACTTCATTCTAGACATCAAATATTCTCTCATGACAAGATAGTCTTGACAATATAGTACATGTATACATTTACATTGCTGCTAAAATGTACCTAGAGTCTAGTTAACTACATGTATACAGTTGCATGCAAAATTATTCAACCCCTCTTGTATTTTGGGGAATTTTGCCAAAATAAGGAAAATTACAACTGTAGAACATGCCTAACTCATGTAAGTGATTAATATATAGTTACTTACAATTTAATATCAGAGAAAAAGTCAATATTATTTCATAGTTCATCTGAAATGGCAACTTTAACACAAAAAGCAGGTGGCAAAATTATTCAACCCCTATACAAGTCATCAGCTAGGGTTGATTATGGAGAATCACAAGTAACATGCCACGTCCAAAAACACTAGTAATGCAATGAGGGAAGATGTGCATGTCCATAATATTTGTATTATCCTTTAATTTTCCACCAAATGTGTAGTATTACACACCTTGTGTCATTACTGCTCACATGCCTCTTGTTGTAAAATGGTGAAAGCAAGAGAGTTGTCCCAGAGGTTTAAATAGGATATAGTAGCATTACACAATAAGGGAAATAGAAATAAGAGGATATCCAAGCTCTTTAATGTTCCCAGAGACACCATTGGGAGCATTATTCGCAAGTTCAAGGCATCTGGTACTGTGGCCACACAGGGAGGTCATGGACGAAAGAAGAATATTTCATCAGCTACAGCAAGATTCCTGAGAAAACAGGTGGACAAAACCTCCAGGCTTACTGCAAAGGACATGAGACACAGTTTGGCTGGAGGAGGAAGTGATGTTTTAGGTGGTACAGCATGCTGCACACTTCATGCTGAAGGGTTGAATGCCAGAACCCCAAGATGCATACTGCTGCTGAAGCCAAGCCACAAGAAAAGTTGCTTCCAGTATGCTGAAGCCAGCCTGTCAAACCCACAGAACTTTTGGGACACTGTCCTATGGACTGATGAAGCAAAACTTGAGTTCGTTGGTCCTGTGGATCAGAGGTTTGTTTTGCACAGGAGGATCCAGGCATACGCAGAGAAGAACACCCTGCCTACCGTAAAACATGGCGGTGGGTCTGTGATGTTGTGGGGGTGTTTTGCTTCTAATGGTACTGGGGAAACTCCACCATGTTGACGGCATCATGGATTCGACCAAGTATCAGGATATTCTGGCCAAGAAAGTCACCAAGTTCCTGAAGACGTTGAAGCTGGGGCGTCATTGGACATTACAGCAAGTCAATGACCCCAAGCACACATCGAAATCCATGAAGGCTTGGTTGGAGAAGAAAGGCTGGAAGGTCCTGGAGTGGCCATCGCAGTCTCCTGACTTAAACCCAATTGAGAATCTGTGGTGAGACCTGACGAAAGCTGTTGCAGCAGGAAGACCTAAGAACATTGCTGAGATGGAGATATTCGCCAACAAGGAATTGGCCGAAATCCCCAAATAGCACTGCCAGAATATCATGACAAGCTATCGTTCCCGTCTGCAACAGGCCATTGCAGTTACAGGGGTGCTGCACGAATTTCTAGAGGAATCCTCGTAGGGGGTTGAATAATTTTGCCACCTGCTTTTTGTGTTAAAGTTGCCATTTCAGATGAACTATGAAATAATATTGACTTTTTCTCTGATGTTAAATTGTAATAAACTATCTGTTAATCACTTACATGAGTTAGGGATGTTCTACAGTTGTAATTTTCCTTATTTTGGCAAAATTCCCCAAAATACAAGAGGGGTTGAATAATTTTGCATGCAACTGTATGTGCAGCTGTATCAAAGGAGGATGCAATAATTTGAGATACCTCTGACCTTTCCAAAATCATTTCTTTTACTATCATGAAAGTTCATCTGTGTAACGTTGGTTGTTACATGTTTAGAGTTAAAATTTTAGACCGAACACAAAGAAGTTTTCTCACCTAGAGCTTTCAACCAGCCACTCTTTCAACCAGGTCTTCCTCAGTAGACTTTTTTTTTTCACTCAACCGCGACGGGGGACAATATCGTCTACCAGATACCTTCTGACCCAGTGTTGACGTCACACTTCAAAGAAGCCACGTGACAAGCCTCACTGGGTCAGTCTACTGAGGAAGACCGGAGTAACTCTAGCTCTAGATGAGAAAACTTCTTTGTGTTAATTGGATCTAAAATATAACTCTAAACAAACATCTAACCTGTTGATAAGCCACTCCAGTGCCTTCTGTGCAGGTCTCAGCAGGAAGTACGGAGAGACTAGCGTCAGGAAACGTGAGATGTTTTCGTCCAGTCTGGCGTTCACCTCCTTGGTCTGAACCACTCGCTCCAGGTTTTTCGAGGACTGACTGAACAGGTTGTTGTGGAAGTCTAGAAACACTGGGTCGATGTTGGCCAGCTCATCTAAACCATTCACTCCTGGAAGGAAAAGGCATATCGATCAGCACAATAAAACTGTACTCTCACCTCTCAAATAAAAGTACCCCCTGACAAAGTACCCCCCGGACAAATCTTCAAAATCTAATAAAAGTACCCCCTGGAATAAAGTACCCCCCGGAAAATTTGAAAAATGACATGTTAGGCCACACCAATTCAATTTCTTGGTTAACGGATTCGCCGCTTCATTTTTTTCTGATTTTTTTTGCAAATAAAAATGAAAATTCAGAATCAACTGCAAAATGCTCATATTTTGCCCTGAACAGTTGAAAACAGTCCTTTCCCTACTACTTGTTACAGTCATTCCATCTTTCAATGCAGTGGTATCATTAAAAGTTCAAAATTCATTGTTTAAATTTTGTGTTGACTTTATGGCTCCTATCGTACCCTTTTGGGCCATAATAGGATGCCTAGGCCTGTTTTTATTTTTTATTTTTTCGCCCGCCCGCTCCATTATTTTTCTACAAAAATCCGTTAACCAAGAAATTAAATTGGTGTGGCCTTAGCAACGTCTATGCCCAAAAATGTGTTCTCACGGTGCATGTCACTTGTAATTATTGACAGGTCCTAAATAAACACCTTACAGGGATCGAAATACTGGGTGCATGTGCACCTTAGTGCACCCAAAATTGGATCGGTGCACCCAATTTTTGGCGACGCCTCAGGGGGGAGCCTAATGGCACAGTATTGTGTGTAGTTTGCAAGAATTCTAGGAATTGCACAGGCATTTTTTTTCCACAGGCATGGCATGTCTACAGGCATGTTGATGGCACACTTTTATGGACACATTCCTACGTAGTCCTAAATTCTTGCCCACATACCCACATGCCTTTCAAGTGGAAGTTTTACATTCTTCCCACATTTCTTCCCACATGCCTTCCAAGTGGATGTCTTAGCATTCCAAGTGGAAGTCCTACATTCTTGCTCACATTCCTGTCCCACATGCCTTCCAAGTGAATGAACTACAAACTCCTAAAACATTTTAGAATTACTTCTGTGAGTACAGTCGATAGTGATCAGATGTGCTGTTGTAGTACCAGGTAGCCGCTTGTGTTGAGTGTCCGTTGGATAGGTAAGTTTGCCATATACATTATCTATGTCTAGTTGTCAAGGTTGTGATTTGGAGTTAGTTTTTTTTAAGTTGCCAACACTAGTCAAAGAAGTTGCCAACACTAGTCAAAGTGTGTGTTGTTTTAGGATCTGTTATGACAATAGACAATAGCATTTTAAGGAGGGCCCCTCATGCCCATTTTCCGTAGAGTGTAATTGACTGTTTTAATTCTACGACTGTAACCGGGCCGATCTATTAACGCGTGTCCTGGATGGTAAGTTTGCCATGTTCAATGATGAATCCTATGATGAATTCTACGTAAGTCAGCACAAGGCATAGACTTTAATAAATGTATCTTAAATGTTAATATAATCTATAGAGACCATGCGTCGTTTTTTGTGTAAATACTACTCTACTGGAATTTGGAAAATGACCCACGCTGTCTTCCACCAAGCTTCTATTGAGTCACATGGTTGGGATACATTCAAGTTGATATTTATAAGTTAAAAAAAATCGGCGAGTACAATATTATCATGTGACCCGTTTCTAGCAAACTAGCGCATTTGAAGCTTGCGTTGTGTATAGACTATTACACATATTAGATGTTTTGTGCTACCGTTTTACAAGAAGTTCTAAATATAACAACTCTTCATGAATGGAAAGGATTGTTCATATAAATTTCTATTTCATTACAAATTCAAACTGTTGACACGGAGATCAGTTAGCTAGGATAGGCTAGGTATATCGCGAAGTTAACTCCTCACGAACATAAATGCACTTACATATATGTTGTACACATCAGAGGTTGACATTGATAGGTTGTTGACGTTGGTTGGCATAACCAAATATATTGACTAGATCAATTTTGTTATAGGACAATGTAGAAGTACACATGTATTTTAGAGTTTTTTGTGCATGCAGTCCTAAGTATGCCGTAAAATTAATCATGTATGATATATGACAATACATCTGCATACTATCTACACCAGAGAGAGATTTGTACTTCTGTAAGACCATCGACACAGGTGTTTTATACGGCTTTATTTAGCCTTAAGGATTTCCTGTTACATTACCTTAAGTTTGCCTGGCCATAGGGTGCTTGCGGAAGGCCTCCGGTTAGAAAAAATACCACCCAAAAACGACAACTGCAAGGGGTCATTCGCACCTTCTGCCATGTGATGACTTTTTGAAAACTAGTAGAAGGGAAACCTTTTTTTCAGGCCCAAGATCATCAGTTTTGGCTTGCACAATAATTCCTCTCCGGCTGTCACACAGTCCTATGTGAACTATTTCCGCCCAGAACGTTGGTCCTCTGCGTGCCCAGTTCCATTTTCTGATCTTTTCTTAGCCACCTCAGCAATATATCCTGTAACTGTCAAGTCCAGTCCGTGAAACGCGGGTGGTCGTCTTTAAATTGTAGGTTACTCAGATGTGTTGTTGCCATTTACGATTTAAGCGCTTAGTGGTGGTGTGGTTTCTCCTGATGAGAACAACAACGTTTCATTCGGGAGCTGTTCGATTTGGAACAACGTGGAATTTGTACAATGTTTGCCTTTCGTCATGCGCTGAAAACCGGTGGGACATATAGTGGTATGGTTGCTATGCCTGCATTCTTAACATGCGCTGTAAACCCTAGGGATTTGTGGCATGATGTCAATGCCTGTCTGCACATGCGCTGAAGTCTTATGGATGTCCTACTTTCTGTCCCTCATTCCCACATGTCTTCCAAGTGGATGTTTTACATTCTTGCCATTCCCACATGCCTTCCAAAAAATTCAAGCGGAAGTTTTACATTCTTGCTTCCATGCATTCGCACATGCCTTACAACATTCCTTCCAAGTGGAAGTCTTCAAGCCTTCCAAGTAGTGGAAGTCCTAAATTTTTGCTCACATTCCTTTCCCACATGCCTTCCAGGTGAATAAACTACAACCTCTAAAGACATTTTAGAATCACTGCTGTGAGTAAAGTCGATCACATTGTGAATCTGAACATGTTGGGGAAATGCTGAGAAGGAGACTTACAGATATGCACTGATGATGTCTTCGAAGCTTCTACAGTTTTCAAAAGGGAAGTCAAACCCTTCAGACATAGTTTTAGACATAGCTACAATTTTAGACAACTACCTTTCATCATGTAGATTTTAGTTATTTTATATACCGTTCTTCAATGTCCTTCTATGTTTGTAACTGACGATTAGCCTCTGGGCATGAATTTGCAATAAACTTCTCAATTATTATAATAGAAGGGAAAGATATCATAATTATAATAGTACCTGTTTAAATGCAGCAGAGCTCAGAAGAATCTTGTGAATCTGTACCGACTTCATGAACATCATGGGAGTCTTGTCAATCTGTACAATTTCCACGATGTCCCAAGGGTTTCCTGGAATTTCACTAGGTAGGAATTGTATGTCAAGTGTATGTCCCACATTCTAGCCACATTCCCCACATGCCGTACCCAGTGAATGGTTAGCATTTTGTCCACAGGCATGCGGAATGTCCACAGGCATTTCTCTGACCCACATCTATGCCCACAAACCCTTGGGAAGATCTGTCTGCCCTATGGCCCTGCTTTCTGTGACCCCGGGGCTCGTTCACTATACACTCAGGGGAGGAGTGCACTGTATCTGTCTAGACTTAACAGGTACCATCATGGCAGTGTCATGGCAGTGCCATGCAAACAATAACCCTAACAGCAACCACCGTCGCCATGGCAATGTATGTTTTCATTGCCAGTCTTGTTGACTGTGGGTGCACCGGTGCACCTAAATATTTTTGTAGTACTGTAAGTCTACAAATTTCCGCGGTATATTTAGATTCGCGGAATTCGCGGGGACCTCTGTACCGCGAATCTATTTCCCCGCGAATATGTTTTGCGTAAGTGCGCCCCCCTCCCCACATGCATTAACGACGGTAAGCGAAACGCAAACACACGCAACAAACACAAATCACTGCAAATCAACTTTATTCTTAGCAAATGTACGTGTGTTGAGTACCAAATTTTTTTAAGTTATACTGATGTAAAAAAATTATAATAGTATGAGACACCGAATCGCGATACTGCGGCACTGGCCGTGTCAAACGTGCACCGCCGGACAAAAATCTGTGTGTGCAGAGCGCCGGCCATGCGCGCCCGGGCGCTTGAAAATTGCGGGCACATCGGGCATATCTACAAATATTTTGATTAAAAATATAACTACTGGTATCTGGGAAATGTTAGTTGATTCTCTTTTGCGCCCTGCTTTGCGGGCGTTTTTTTTGTTTTTTGTTTGTTTTGCTGGATAGACACGCTACCGTGGGCCTACAAAACCGAAGGCGACCTTTGCATACTTCCGGGTTCAAAATCTCGCCGAAGACGGCATAAAAATTTTTAGTAATATATAATTATATTTTCCCGAAAGATTCTTTCGATTATGCATTTCTTCACTAGAGTATCGATGTGTAGTCGTGGAAAATAGCGTTTTAGCGCTTATTTCCGAACAAAGAAAATTGTTTACACGTGCGTCAGATCGATCGTCAGCTATACCACCGGCAGTCTCGCGCGGTGCACGAAACCAATTTTTGCGCCGCGTTTTAGGATATAAATGCCGGAACACGAACTTTTATTATTTTGAATATACACTTTACAAAGTTTTCTTTGAAAAATAGCCAAGGAGAAATCGCGAATCTAAAAATACCGCGGATTGTCCATTTTCCCGAAACCGCGAACTTTAGGCCCCGCGAATCTAAAGAGACTTACAGTATTAAGTACGGTAAAGGTACAAGACACTGTAATTCCAACATTGCTGTGATGGAATAAAATAATAAAAAACCTTTGATGCACTGCTTGTTTGAAATTCTTGAGATAGAATTAGATTTACTTCAGTTTTTAAAGCCCGAAAATGTATCGGCGCAGTTCCGACATCGCGTTACCCACCAACTTCCGGATCCCGACTACAACACAGGACAAGAGATCTCTTCTTTCTCGCTCCCCGGTTTCTTGATAGTCATGTGACCAAAACATCGCGAACTCGCTTCTGGTCACATCGTCAAAACCCGGGTGTCTAATAAGTAATATTTTACTTATTAATGTACTGCTGGAAATATGTGGTGCACCCAAAATTTTTTTGGTGCACCTAATTTTTTTGGTTAGGTGCAACAGTGCACCTAATCAAAAAAATGAATTTCGATCCCTGCCTTAAATATGATACCCTCAACAAATCTTCAAAACCTAATAAATACCCCCCAGATTGAGAATAAATATGTACCCCCTGGAAAATTACCAAATTAGCAGCCTGTATTCTAGCAGGTTTTTGAGGAGTATATGTCACTTGCAGTGTAATATACATGTATCTATGATTATGTCATCCATCAATATTCTTGCTCTGCCTTCATATAAGTTTTTGTGTTGTTGTGTAGATTTATCAATTCCCTAAAAAATATGTAAAACTTTCTTTCACACAATCCTTGAATCAATTTATTGTGGTTTGTGGTTTACATGTATTTATTATATCTCATTTTTAAACAAATTAAAAAGCCAATTAAGTATTTTATCATGTTCATTTATGACCATTTAATACATTTCCTTCACACATTTGCAGTCATTGCACCTTTTTCATATACTGAAAGGATGTATGTTAAGTGTGTTTCTTTAAGTATGCTACTCAGACAGAACAAGAACAATAATAAAATACTGTAATTCCTTATTTTTTCACTGTACTATTATGTTACTGTTTTCACTGTCACTTCTGTACCGTGAACTTATCATTACAGTTAACAAATGATTCCTGGACTTTCTTTTTCCTGCACCTGTCGCCACTGTGAATATAGTTCCGTGAACTTTTCTTTTTCCACTTTTCTCAGACCGTGAAATTTTGCTTCCATGAACATGAAATGAATTAGTAAGGCCACACCAATTTAATTTGTTGGTTCTCGGATTTTTTCAGAAAAAATATGAAGCGACAGGGCGAAAAAAAATAAAAATAAAAACAGGTCTAGGCATCCTATTATAGGCTTAAATGCTATGGAATGAGCCATGAAGTCAACACAAAAGGCTGGGTTAAAATTTAAACATTGAATTTTGAACTTTTAATCAAAACACTGCAATGATAGATGGGAAAACTGTAACATCTAGGAAGAAAAGGACTTTCCTCAACTGTTGGGGACAAAATATGAGCATTTTTCAGTTGATTCAGGACCAGAATCAAATTTTTATTTTTTTTGCAAATCAGAAAAAAACGAAGAGGCAAATCCGAGAACCAACAAATTAAATTGGTGTGGCCTAAGTGCTATCGTATTGAAATCAAGTCAAAGTGCATTTTTATCACATTCTGCATTACTAACCAAGTGCGTAGAAAGTGTCCCTGTCTAGATTAGCAGCCTCCTTAGGATCAAACAGCAGCGAGGCCCGCTCCCTGTCCTTGTCTGGTACAGCCAGCTCTGACTGCGGCAAGGCTAACCGCTGCAGCTGGGTCGCTAAAGATGTCATCTTGGTGTGTCTATGGAGGAAGTGATATAAAAAAAGATACATGTACATTGTGAGCATTCTGCAAACATAATTTCCACCCATCTCATCCCAAAGAAGATGATACTAGTAACTGGTTGGGAAGAGGGTGTTTACATGAAGATCAGTTGCTACTTAGGCCGACTTTAGACTGACGACAGTTCATAGTCGCACGATAATCGTTGTCCACGACGGCTTTCTTTAGACACATGACCAGAAAGCGTGGCGAACACCCGCAGCGCAAGATGGCACACCGCGTGAGTTCAAAATGGCGAGAGAACCCTCTTGTTTTTGTAGCAGATTATTCTTTTTCTGCTTTTTATATAACAACTCGCGTTGCCGAGTTCTTGCCCAACAAAGGTCTATGAGGCGCATGTACCGAGATGGGAAATACCTAGGTTTAAACCCAGCGTTCGGTGCTGCCGCAGAAAGGCGGATCGGTACCGGAATAGTAGCAATTGGTGGTAGGGGACCACACTCGGCAACATTCTATGGTATACTAGTACTATAGGCGATGTTTTTGGACAGAAAATAACGCTTGCAGGGCAATGCAGGCTCATTTGCATATGATCAGTGACATCTTACTTCCTTCGCCGGCATTCGTACATTCGTACGACTATTCAACTGTCGTCAGTCTAAAGTCGGCCTTAAGATGAGGGCCTGCATGGGGGTCCCGACTACACAAAATTTTGAGAGCCAGCTATGTACGTATTTCGCTGAATTCAAGAAGCCTCCCCCATTACACTTTACAATAAATTCTGGGTAGCTACAATGCATTACGTAAAATAAAACGGCGAATTACGCTCTACGCAAAATGTGCCAATTACGCTCTTCCGACTCTACGTAGAATTGAAATGGCCAATCACTCTCTACCAAAAAGGGCATGGGGGCCCGCTTATAAAGATTACTTCATCAAATGTAGTTTTTAACATATCTGTATCACATTAGCTCACACAGTCTGGAAGACACTTTAATAAGATTAAGAGGGTGCCCCACATCCTTGAGTAGAGCAGAGTAGAGTCTTCGATCTGGTAGCAACTGTGTACCATATCAATTCTAACATAATTTTACAACCTACGAGTATACGAGTGTTGATTCAATTGACTTATTTCAAAGCCGTTCGACAACGTTACATCGCTCACAATATGTTAATACAACATCAGACATTATGACGATAAAAGTAAGGGACCGTCCCAATAAATTTCTATGCAAAGACACATAGCCAGCTCCTTACATCTGCTTGGAGATTACATCTCCGGACATGTCCCGCTATGCTCATCGAGGATTTGGTCCTCAAAGAAAGGGCTATTTACCATAGAATATGTAAAGTTATGTGCATATAAGTTCCTTATGACGCAAGACACATACCTGTGAACGTACGTCTCCCAGAAGTTGAAGGAAAACGGTGATTTCCAGGTGTAAAACTTAGAACCGCCGGTGGGACATCTCCCCACGTGCAGCAATGGGCCGGAAATGCAGTAAATTACTTCCGGGTTGGATTACTACATTCCGTTCTGAGGTGTATTTGGTGAAATGAATAATACTAAAAAAAAGGCGTATTTTATGAATACATGGTATATTATACTTTATATGGTTAATAAAGGTATGTTTGACTATAAACAGTTTGTTAGTTAAATAATCATCTCACATCTAAAAAAGCATTAACAACTTTTCACGGTCCCCCCTCTAGTAACAATCGTACCTTCCAGATCACCAAGATGGCCGACCTTTGTTACAGCGCAGGTTTTCGGGTCTTTGCTAAGATCTACGAGATTTAAACCTCCCAGCTCGATAAATAACATCGCAGCGGCCTGTTCCAGGTGGAGACTACATTTCTGGGTAGATCGAGAAGGTCAGAGAGGGACATTTCTTCGTATATCTAGATTTTTCAGGTATAATTTGCTACCGGCGTACGCGTTCTCCCAACACAAACTTTAGAGCTGTAGCTGTAAGTTACAGTTAGCGTTTTCTTGCGTGTTTTGAGTTATTAACGGGTCTGCCTATTTACCGGAATACAACGGAAAACACAGTTAAACACCGGAAAACACCGGAAAAAACATATAGGAGGCTAAAATCTACCGGAATACACCCTTATATGATGAGATAACATAACCGTATGGTTTATTTTCTTATCCAGTATGGCTCAGGTACCAAACGATGTTCCTCACCAAACGACAGAGCGTGTGCCTGTCGTTGAGCTGTTCCAGCCCGGGAAAGTCGTTCACGTGTGCGCGCCCATGGTGCGCTACTCCAAGTTACCGTTCCGTGCCCTGGTGCGGCGCTACGGCTGCGACCTCGCCTTCACTCCCATGATCATCGCCGAGTCTTTCGTCAAGTCTCTGAAGGCCCGGGACAGCGAGTTCACCACTAATGCTGCAGATAGACCTCTGGTGGTCCAGTTTGCTGCGAGAGATGGTGTGTAATAAATAGTGCTGCATACCGGTTCACTGGACTTGGATCCGGACTTGCAAGAATGTTTAGGTTCAAGTAAAAAAAAAACCTAAAAGTCAAGAACTGAGTCCGGACTTATTACCATAAAAGACCATTTCGCATACCCCTTTTCTTTCCAAACCACCTAAAACCTTCTTTAGATTCCAAAATGATGATGACAAATGAAGAAAACATTGCCATCGGGCATCGTCAAGTACCGGCCTCCATGTTATGTGGCCAAAGTTTCACCCAGACAACATTGCAAGGTTGCCAACATGCAATTTTGTATATGCCATGGGTTTAGGTCCGGACTTACAAGTCCGGAACTGAACCTAAACCTCTGGACTTGAATCCGGACCTGAACCTAAATGTGGGTTTAGGTATGCAGAAGTAATATATAAGGTTTGGTGGTAGTTTGGTTGGCCAATGGCTGGCCAATTTGATAATTTGATACCAATGGTGTAGTATAATACACATGAGATACTAATAGATGCACAATCCACTTATCTACAGATCTACAACCATACATGTACAGGTCTCCAACTGACTACTAAGTAACAGAGCGATTGTCACTTCCAAGCTCAACAATGCTAACAATAGTCCTTCACCTGATTGGTTACTCTCACTAACCAATCAGTGCCTACCTAAGGCCACACCAATTTAATTTGTTGGTTCTCGGATTTTTTCAGAAAAAATATGAAGCGACAGGGCGAAAAAAAATAAAAATAAAAACAGGTCTAGGTATCCTATTATAGCCCCAAATGCTACAAATATGAGCCATGGAGTCAACAAAAAAGGCTGGGTTAAAATTTAAAGTATAGATTTTGAACTTTTAATCAAACCACTGCATTGATAGATGGAAAAACTGTTAACAACTAGGAAGAAAAGGAATTTCCTCAACTGTTGGGTTAAAATATGAGCATTTTTGAGTTGATTCAGAACCAGAATTCTTTTTTTTTTTTTTGTCAAATCAGAAAAAAATGAAGAGGCGAATCCGAGAACCAACAAATTAAATTGGTGTGGCCTAACGCGCTAATATATGCATATCTCTCAATAACATGACTCTCTGTATGGTCACTTACTAGTACTAGTAGTAGTACAGATTACCATAGTTACACAAGTCATAATTGTTACAGGTGTGACGTTTGCTGACGCCGCGGAGATAGTAGCGCCGTACTCCGACGGAGTGGACCTGAACTGCGGCTGCCCCCAGCGGTGGGCCATGGCGGAAGGATACGGCTCGTGTCTTCTTAAAAACCCGGAGCTTCTCACCGACATGGTCCGGCAAGCCAGAGCAAGAGTTTCTGACGAAAACTTCTCGGTATCCGTAAAAATCAGGCTCCACAAAGACTTGAGAGAAACGGTAGATATGTGTCAGAAGGCTGAGCGTGCTGGTGTGTCTTGGGTAGCTGTACACGGCAGAACTCCCTCACAGAGAGGTGAACCAGTCAACAATGAAGCTATAGCACTCATTAAACAGAGCCTTGACATCCCTGTCATTGCAAACGGCGACATTAAAAACTTAGAGGATGTGAAACGTACACAGACGCTAACGGGGGTTGACGGAGTGATGGCAGCCCGCGGAATACTCCAGAATCCGGGAATGTACGCAGGGTATGACCAGACACCGTTACAGTGTGTACAGGACTGGGTAGACATATCCCTCAAGTTAGGAACACATTTTACATGCTTTCACCACCACCTGATGTACATGTTTGAAAGGGTCACTCCAAAGTCTGAAAAGAGAGTCTTCAACGCACTGACCAGCACAGCAGCGGTGTTAGACTATCTAGAGGAGCACTATGGGGTTTCCTACAATCCTGATAGAACAGTTAATGATGGTCTTCCCACACAAAATGGTTATGCTGAGTCAGACAATTGATTTTATCAGTTTAGATAGCAAATTCTAATCTTATTTGGATGTAGCTGTTTTAGAACTAGAGTCATTGTACTACTTACGTATGAAACATTTTACTGTGTTATTGCCTGTATGACATACTAGTACTTGGGTTATTATGTTGCCACCAGTACTGTATTGTTTTATTATAATTAAAGAGATAAGATAACTGAAGACCATTAACCACTGGTGCATCAATTGTTTCTGTGTGAGAATTACACTGAAATATCACTCTTCATTGTCTTATTTGGGCATCATGAAACACATCTGGACATTGAACAAAATTGTCACAGACACCACACAAAATGTACTGCTAAGGCCACACCAATTTAATTTCTTGTTTAACGGATTCGCCGCTTCATTTTTTTTTGATTTGCAAATAAAAATAAAAATCCAGAATCAACTGCAAAATGCTCATATTTTGCCCTGAACAGACCTTTTCATCCTAGTTGTTAGTTATTCCATCTTTCAATGCAATGGTATCATTAAAAGTTCAAAATTCATTGTTTAAATTTTGAACCAGCCTGGTGTGTTGACTTCATGGCTCCTATCGTACCATTTTGGGCCATAATACATTGTAGGATGCCTAGGCCTGTTTTTATTTTTTCGCCCGCCCGCTCCATTATCTTTCTAGAAAAATCCGTTAACCAAGAAATTAGATTGGTGTGGCCTAATGTTACATTTATAACGATGTTAAAATAGACTGTAGAACACTTTAAGTATGTGATTTCTTTGGTTGTGAAGGGAGTCTCCCTCTTATCGTACTACATATGGTTTCCCTTTAATACGTAGTTAAGTATGTGTGTCAGGATGTAGCCTGGTATCCAGTCTGATCGTGGTCGGGGCCACAAGAGCTCTGTCCCGCCCGCCTCACATAGGTTTCCCGGTGTGTATTTCACGAGAGATTGATTAGCCCTCCACGACCAAATACCAAGCGTAACGCTCCTACCGGGACGGCCTGTTTCACTGGGCGGGGGCCTATTATAAGAGCCCCCGAAGACACAGTCTGCCTGAACACCCCCAATCACGTAAGACTGGATACCAGGCTAATCAGGAAGTGGACTTTGACCCGTATTAATTTGGACTGGCCTTGCAAAAGTAGAGACGTAACATCCGACTTGAAACTGCTTGTTCTGTTGCTGTTCCGCGTCTGGAAAATCGATGTGCTCTAAGACGCAATGTTGAACCTCGTAATAGTCGTAATTTGGGGAAAATAAAAATTCCGTTGTCGGCAGGATTCGAACCTGCGCGGGCAGAGCCCAATAGATTTCTAGTCTATCGCCTTAACCACTCGGCCACGACAACTCGGATGCTGTAATTGGTTTGAGCTGTGGTTCTGTCCTGACCTCCGTCCAAACGTCCGACTCAACATTTGAACGCGATTGGCTTAAAACCGAGCACTGTTTCTAGTACACAATGAAACATCCGTGTACATACGTACGCATCTCGAATTCCCCTACAAAAAAAAATACGACATGTACTAGGTTGAAGAGACTTGATTGTTTAAATAGTAGCGCAAGCAAAACTTGATTATTTTTAAGTGACAAATTCTCGTGCAAGAGGTCACCAGGTGATATTTCATCGTATTGTCTTACAAATCGCGAACTTTTAAAAACAAGCTTTGTTGATGTTGATGTTGAAAAATAATAGAATTACATGGCCATTTAATAACATGACTTGGTGATGGGCCTTGGAGGCCGGGCTGTAGTTCGTTTTGTTTAAGTTCTGTTGAACGTTGTATACGTAATACGTAGCGCATCTGATGTAAATGTATGTAATATGTTGTAATACGACAATTTAATGACAACCATAAACAGGTGTATATGTTTGAACGTCAGGACGAGGTGGCCGAGTGGTTAAGGCGATGGACTGCTAATCCATTGTGCTCTGCACGCGTGGGTTCGAATCCCATCCTCGTCGACAACATTTCTTTTGTCGAAAAAATCGCCCATGATTGCTGTTTTGTGTAGCATTGATTTTCTTACTTGTCGAGTCAAGCGCAAATCATGTATAATCAATCTACACACTCCAAATTCCTGCCGAGTGACATTTAGAATTTGTTTGGGGCCAAAGTTCGGTCTACGCAGTCAGGGACGCCATAGTTGGGGTTTTTGTATCAAAAAATTAGTAAATGTTACGATCTTCCAACCCGAAATTTACTTTAGAACCCTGACACACTCGTGTCGTCTGCTTATGACGTCACAGCTACATACCGACATGCCCGGGAGCAGTTTTAGCGTGAGTCGTTGAGGGGCGTTACTGCACCTCGTCGACAACATTTCTTTTGCCAAAAAATCGCCTATTGCTGTTTTGTGTAGCAATAATTTTCTTACTTGTCGAGTCAAGCGCACAGCATGTATAATCCACTGTAATACACAGCACCAAATTCCTGCCGACTGACATTAAATTTGGGCTAAAGTTTGGTCTATGCAGTCAGGGACGCTATAGTTTGGGTTTCTGTGTCATAAAACGAGACAAATCAGTAAATGTTACGATCTTCCAACTCGAAATTTGCTTTAGAACCCTGACACACTTATGTCGTCTGCTTATGACGTCACAGCTACATGCCGACAACAGGTGGTCATCCGACGTTCTCACAGCGCCACCTAGCTATATTAATCAGAACTGCAACACGTACTTAGTATACAAGGTAGAGGTGTACACTACTTGCAGCTTGTATGTGGCAGTTTTCTTCCCCCAAATAAAAGCCTTGTTACCGCCAAGACGCTCCCAGTAAGTATGTGGTTGATTTGCAGAAAGAAACTGTTGTCAAGAATCTTTTTTATCAGAGTATTCCTCTAAAACAGCGACCTGGGGGGAGGGGGGGCGACCTCATCCCAGATCCCGCAGCACTAACCTAGTGTATGGCTGTTTCCTTAAAAGTACGTTTCGAATACTTGCAGAAAGTGCAGCCCATGTTTTAATGTGAAATATCACGTGAGTAAAGAGCCAGGTAGGAAACTGGGGCAACAGTACCTGACACACGGATGTCGTCTGCTTATGACGTCACAGCTACATACCGACATGCCCGGGAGCAGTTTTAGCGCCAGTCGTTGAGGGGTGTTACTGCACAGCCGTGCACGTACACACATTTATCAATCTTAAATCATTCTTCTCGCTGACGGGCAGACGATTATCGTGTGTAAATCGGTGTTAATAAACCAAAATTACGACGTGTTTCTTAACCGCCGTTCTCATTATATTTGACATCTATCCAGAAATAGATAAGTGTATTGTCACATGCCACTAACGACCTTTCCCCAACACATGACCTTCCCTTGAAAACATTATAATTACAAAAATATGCAAGCTGTTTTCTAAACTCTACATGCTAAATATTTCAGAAAAACTCTGTTCACCTTTCTTTTGTTCACGTACTTAGTTTTATTTTGCCATATAATCAGAAAAATGAATGACCCTATATCGGATTGTGTATTTGGCGAGCGTAACGTTAAATGAATGTGACAAGTACGCATAAACAGCCTGTATCAAAGTAGGCGAAAAAAATATGCAAAAACTATAACATGTGAAATGATTCAAACGGTAATATTTACGGATATGTAAAGGTAAGCGTAAAGATATGAAATATATTTACGTCGTATTTAAGCACACTGAAAGGTGACGGAAAGGCGAAATTTGCCTTTCAGCGGCCTTTACGAAGTCGTAAACTCTACTGAAATATTTTCCCACTTTTGATAATTCTTTACATATTGGCATTGCGGAAAGTTTGCTTAAATATCGCTTTTCGTGCTGTGTGTTTTCAAATTTAAAGTGTATGGAATCCTGATAGCCTGGTTATCAAACCTATTATAGCTCCCGAGTCCTACATTCTCTATGCGAGGATGTAGGACTCGGGAGCTATAATATATTTTTTTCCAACATGTAATCACCAGACGTGGTGACGACACACTCAAGTTTTGTCAACTTATATCAATGCCGCCACCAACACAGGGGACAAATACATGACAGGACAATACTCATTTACACCTGAGCTAAGAGAGGAAAGTCGTGTAAAGTGCCTTTCCCAAGGGCACAAGACCGGTGGCATGTCAGGACTCGAACCCGGGACTCTTAGTTCCGATTCGCGCACTCTGCCGCTACGCCACACGACCCCACGGGAGCTATAATAGGTTTGGTAACCAGGCTAGAATCCTGAAGCCTTTAGTTTGGCTTCTCAAGATCTCTGACCTTCTGTGTGATATGCTGTCTGAAGAACAAAAGCGGTGAGACACCTGTCAGGGGAAGATGAACGGCGACCTTACACGGGTCACCTGTCGGCTACGTCAGGTGGAGGAAGGACCGCAGGGGACGATCTTATCTCACACAGGAGACGTCATCATAGCCTGTGCCAAACGCACAGCACACTAGTGTAAGGATCTAACATTCTGATCCATAGAGTTCCCCCTATGTGAATGGTACAACCCGCCACCCCCGGTGGTGAGTAGGCTAGTCCACTTCTTGGAACCGGTTATATCTAGTTCAGTCTACCACATGTTCTTCTCAAGAATACACACAGATCTACAGTACACTCCTCGTCTCCTCTCTTCATTCCCGGACCTTGGGGTGGGGGACAGGGCAAGGAAATGGTTCGTTACACTGGAAGTGGACTAGCCTACTCACCACCGGGGGTGGCGGGTTGTACCATTCAGATAGGGGGAACTCCATGGATCAAAATATTAGATCCTTACACTAGGCTCAAAGTTATCCACCAGCAGAATATTTACCAGAGCATAGGCTATATGAGGTTGTGTATCGTTGCCGTACAGGGTATCTAGACACGGCTTCCGAGTCTCTGTTGGGTTAAGGCGGCCTAGGCTGATATTCATGTTCGAGTTCGGACGTGTGTCTGCACGATTGCCACAGACTTGTTTCGAACCCGAATCTTGTTCCACCATGTTCGATATGACGTCATTCGAATAGAACGCGTGTTCGAATTCGGGGTTACCGGCGGTCATTTGTATGTTTCTCGTGTAAACCCGCGTTGTTACGCATTTTATTCACGGAGTATGACTTAAACGGCTTTACGCGCAGCTGAAAACAGCATAATTGATCTTTAGAGTAATCCATGTTTACGTATTATCACTTTTTTATCAAAATTGTCCGAGGCTATTTTGCATACAAGTCGATATTTTTTAACTGTGGCGATTTTTTAACGAAAAATAACCGAAAAATAGCTGTTTCGGTCGTTTTTGGCCCCCAAAAAACAATCTAACTGTCATTTAACACAAAATAGCCTCGGACAAAAATAATAAATAGGGGGTTGGCTTTCTACTTGTAAAATATCACGATGAAATGTGTTGTTACCGCTTGTGCGTAAAGCCATGAAGTAAACAGCTTTTTTTAAACCAATATGTTGATTTTTAACCCAAAAATCCAGAAGTAGTAAAAACAAAATAGCCTTTATCCAATGTGTTTCAAGTACTACTAGAACTGTGTGAGCTTTAGTTGTGGTGCGACCAAGCTATCAAAAGTTACAGGCATATGTATGAAATACTTCTTATAGTATGCCATAGGCTGCCTTAACCCAACCGAGAACGCACAGGACACTCGGCTCAAAGTTATCCACCAGCAGAATATTTACCAGAGCATAGGCTATATGAGGTTGTGTATCGTTGCCGTACAGGGTATTTAGACACGACTTCCGAGTGACTACGCACCGGGGCTGAGCAATATCCGCCATTGGGTACGGCGAAAAAGTACAGGGTACGGCACGAATTACCGGGTACGGCTTGAAATTTTCGCGGGTACGGCACGAATTTCCGGGTACGGCTTGAAAGGAGTTTGATGGGGGTGACCAGGACCATGTGCCTTATTATGTTTTGGCCATGTTGATTTGATTATATGGATGACCTTGGATTTTCGACCGTTTCCAAAAAAAAAAAAAGAAGTTTTCAACCATACTATAAATCGTACAAAACAGTTACAAAATGAGCAGATATATAACGTAAGTTGCAAAAAAAACAAGAAAGGTGTAAAAAATACACCTAGGCGACGAATTGTATATTATGTAAATTAGGGTATTATCAATTTAATTTATTTTTATTATATGTACGAATTGGAATATTCACTTCATAAGCTACATGTACATATATGTGCCTGGTTATCTACATGTCGACAATCGACCAATATCGGGTCCCCATTCTTAGCTCGGTGTTTGTTGCTATTGTTTAGATTTAATTCCAATCTTTTATAAATATTTTTAAAGGGATATCTTATGTTTTACAAACATTTCAAACTTGTTCTTAACTTCTTAAGAAATTTCCGTAAATTACAATACTTTCGAAATATTTTTGAGTCCGCGTACGATATTTCCAATGATTTCTAAAGAAAGGCAACTCGGTTCTACCATTTTTTTTAATTTTTGTAAATGACCCGTGACGAAGTAATTTGCACATCAACACGAAGCGTTCTGTGAGCCAAAAATACTAGTAGGAATCGTTGATGAACCCTGCCGTCGGCGAGCACTCGACACGATAGCGGCCAGCCATTGATACAGAAAAACAGTGCCAAACCGTACGCTGCTTTTAATAAATCTCAAACTCTAGTGAAACATCAAATCCTTTCTGTTGTACCATGGTTGTACAGTCCATCCATATTTCTTGAGATAAAAAATAGGTACCCATTCACAAAAACGCTTGTAAATTCAAGGATCTTTCTCGCACAGTATTACGTAGATCTATTACACGGCGCCGAAACATGTCAGAATACGTATACACTCCGTCTTCCCTCTCGTCAAAAACGCCGTCCGTGCAAGTCATGTGTGCTTCCAAATAAGGAAGTCCGCGGAAACCGCTGGCAGCTCGGGCGATCGCGATCTTCGGCCTGCATCGGCGCGTGTGACGTCATGATCGGGCTCATTTGTATGCAGGCGTCTGCCTTTTGACTACACGGACTACAAAGGACGCCGCCAGAGAGCGTAAACCCAGATGCCGCGGGTGAAACTGCACATCAAGTAAATACGAAGTTTGGCTGGTAAAAAAAAGAAATTAAAATTAAGATCTCAGTTGATTGCCACTTTCGAAATTTTTGCAAATTATGACATTTTCGAAAACATGCTACTCAAGTACGTACATTTTTATAATAATTTCAGAATATTATAATATTT